CCCCAGAAAACGGGACCGGCATGCCACCAGGAATATAGTCCAGGCATGCGCGTACATGCCATCCAGAAGCAAAGGGTTAAATCTCCCTTAAATTTGATACTGCTATATATACTAAGGAAAATCTATCTAAAGTGAAAAATCATTGCTGACTGAAGAATATATCTAAAATGATATATTTCCATAAAAACTTGGAAATATTATTGCCTTACATAACAAAAAATGATGTATCATGTATAGTAGGCCATAGTTACAATATGGCCCTGTACAATAACAAAATATAGAATTTAAGATATTTCAGAACCCCTGAGTTATATGGAAGTTTGAAGTATTACTGTTATTCCTATTTCAGTTAATCTTTACAGTATGAGCACACTAAGCTAGGGCAAATTGAAAATGATGTTCTAAAAGTTGCAATTATTGGCAGAAAAAATAATCTGCAAACATGGATAATAATGTCACAGATAAAAGGTCGCAAATAAAGAAAAAGGATTGCAGAATGAGCCACTTACAGCCTATGTCTACTTGGTGCTCACAAGTTTCAGATCTATCTTGCCATACATACCGAAGTGAAGATAAGGTTTCATTGGGAGTGTTGGAGGGCAGAGCCCCCATCAACCATCCCCTCAGCAACTCAGATTGTTTAATAGATTTTGTTACATGGAGTTGGGGACTTAGTCTCTGGTGAGTGTGTCCATACTGTAAAGATTTATACCGTTCCCAATGAAGACACTGACTAGAAGAAAAGCAATACCTACCTCCCCCCATAATTTATTCACTACACAGCCCCACCTCTTTCCAGAATCAAAACTCTTTCCCCTATACCGAGATGAATGGAACTGTGAATAAGTTCATAATTACAAATCGTCAGAAACTGTAAATCTTTTAATAAAATGACAAAGTTTTACGAAAACGAATGAACATAATGAAACTCCTATTCTACACGTAAGTCGCGAAAGACCCTCTATACATCTCCATTCTATACTCCTTCACCGAGTCTAATTGTAAGCTGTCCTAGGAATATATCACAGCAATCTATTCATCCCCAAGCCCATAACGAGCCGGGTCACCTTCCCGCACATGTGGGGGACACCGGCAAAATCGGCGCCAAGTTCCAACTGGAAACGCTTTCAAAAAACTTCTATCGCTGATGTAAAAATGAACAAAATGAACACTTAATAATCGTCTTATTCGACCCACCTGTATCCCTCGAAGGTACTCCTTGTCGAGGTCATCTATGAGGGTTGTCATAGCCTCCTGTATGCGGTGCTGTGCCTGATCGACCATGTTGAGAGAGGTTTCCGAGGGCCACGCACACCGACGCACACGGACGACTTCTGTGTACACAACAGCTGATGCCGGGGTGGGGGGTGGGGGTGGGGGGTTGGGGAGAGAGAGGCACGGGCCTATCTCCTTTTCCGCTTATTTTTGTTGGTAATATCAATCAACGGCTTTGCAATCATTGATTTAAGAGTTCTGATTTAGGTACTCTGGTTTGGTTGATTTAAGAAAGTT